TGGACTCAGCATTGGGAAAGATCATTGCACAAATGACTATGGTAGCAGTTGATAATTTGATATGAAAGAAAACATTTTTTGTATTTATTTTAATATGTAACATACCCTCAAACTGCTATGCAGATCCAACATTTCATCTTTAGCCTTTTCAAACAGGATGTCCTTTGATTTATGGACATGTCTCTCTATAGTTTCCCTCATGTTCTGCAGTGAACCAGTTCCTGAAAATCCTGCTGCTTCTGCAAAAGAGAATGTTGAAATTTATTACAAATGTATAATAACAAGGAATGTATAAGTGCACTATTTGTGTTAATTTATTTATCAGTTAATCTTACTGTCATAGCATTCGTTTAGGATTTCCACAGCTGTCTTTGCTAGACTGTTGTAGATGTTTTTTTTACGGTTACGAATAAGTTTGGTCAGTTTTGTTTTTAACTGTTCTTCCTAAGAAAAATATAAGAAATTAACTGTTTAAAAAAAACGACTTTTGGGCAAATTGTATTAATTTTACATGTTGTTGGTGTGTAAAAAAGCATTTATCTGTTGGATGACCAACATAATACTTTCCCCATTAGTTACCTCATTCTTCAGAAATACCAGCTGTAGTTCAACATCACTGTACTTCTGTTTTAGCCCTTCAACATCAAGTGAAAATTCTTTGATTACTCCGTAGATTGGACCACATTTTCCGTCATTCCTGAAATATTTAAATGTATTTTCTGATTATCTTACATTGTATACATACTTTAAATTAGTAAACTCATTGTTTATTATAAACATTCTCTTTGTTTAAGCTGCCTATAAAGTACTCACGGGAAAGTTTTTTTGAATTCCTCATCAATGCTATCTGTCAGGACTGAAATTAACTTTGTGTTCAAGTTTTTTTCCGGCCCACGTTTTGGTTTCAGGACCCCTTTATTTTCGACCAGTTTTTTTAGTTGTTTATGAAAACCACTGCCACTCTTTCTCTGAAGAAATACAAACATTTCAGAGTATGAATAAATACAAAGTACTGTTTACTAGGTTTTTAGTATCCAAAAACATACTGGAGGATAGAGAAAGTTCTTCAAGATTCTTTCCAATGAATCTTTGGATATTTCGACTCCTTCTTGTAGGCACTTTTCAAAAGTTTTGTAATTCTCCATCATTGCATATCTGATCAAATCACTTTTTTGCCTGAGGTTTCTCTCAAGGTCTTTGCAAACATATTTATTTTCTCCACCCTGAAAGGGAAATAAAAATATTAGGTAGAAAAATTGTGTGGTATGAGTAGCTCTCACTGTGTTTATAAAGTCATGTCGCTGTAGCTTTCATCTTGGTTAGGCAATGTTTAAACATGAATAATTATGTCTGAATACTAACTCAGACCTTAAACATTGTTCCTTTTTTTACTTATACTACATTTAACTATTTCGATGCACACATTTTAGTTACTTAAATAACATCCATATTATAAATAAGTAACATTCCAGGAAATGTTGACACCCTTCAATAAATGAAAGAAAAGGTAATAAGATAAGACAAAAGTAATTAGATATGATTCTAAGAACAAGAACAAATCAGAAAATTGCTTTTCAGCCATGCTTCAAAATACTGTTTTAAAAGAAAAATTAGTGAAACAGGCCTAGATAAAAATGATAGTACCCTTACAAAGAACATTAAAGCTATATGAAAAATGAAGGGTTTTAAACTTCAAAAGAAGAACCCAGGAAAAGCAGATGTTCTCCTTCTGCATCTTCCCTAATGTATTTTGTTTCTTCTAGGGTTTAATACAGAACTGCTTCACCTCTCACTGTTCTGATTTAGATCTTTAATGATGTTTGGTTTTGACCTCCACTGTTTTCATCAGGAAAAAAAGGTGTTCAAATAATTTTAAATCACTCTTTAGGTTAAAGGCCACAGTTTCTTATGGCAGTTTGAGGGTTATTTGGATTAGGGCAAAATTGTTATATTGAGTTTAACAGTTTTAAGACAGTTTTTTTTTTTTTTTTTTTTTCTACTTAACCATAATAAGATTAGGAGAAAAGGAACTTGGAAGGTGTTTTTTTTAATTCTACTTCCAAGTAAGGGCCTAAATCTTACCATATTCCCTGACTTTGCTCCTTGAATCAAAGAGAGTATCCCATTAGCTCCAGACAAGTAGTTCGATGTTTCTGAGT